ATCAAACGCTCCAGATTAACAGCAGCGCTACATGACACGTGGCCAAAATAGCTTATTACACGCTGTATGCTAATTGAAGAAAGACGCTGTGAATTCTTCATCTTGAGTTCCTAAAGTACAGAGATATTTGTGCGGCGGGATGTCCACGGTACCCTAAAAACAGAATTATAACTTTTTTTATTTGAAGAAAACAAAAGCGACCTTAAAGCTTAGCTCCGCTTCCGCTGTGTTTGTTACCGTGGTCTCGTCAACGATAACTGAAACGCATAACATGGAAGACCTCGTGAAACGTACACAATGTCGCTGCTGTACACTTTTTGTGATGTCACTACGGGCACACTAAGGAGTTACTCTCATCGTTATGCCATTTCCATCATCAGATCATCCCTAGGTCACCATAACATTTTATTGGCAATGGAATAACATCTATGCATTTCATTGAAATCGATTAACGGAAAGTGAGTGAAATTCAATAAACTGGATTCATCCCCTAATTTGCAATCCTTAACAGTGGTATATCTTCTTCAAATTAGAATTGGACCACTAATAAGGTACTCACCTTTTTAACAAAAAAGTGTAATCGAAATTAATACGCAAACATCGCAGTAATCGCGTAACGTCGGTTTAGTTTATATTTAAATTAGTTATATTTTTTATTTGCAATTTAAAAAATCTTTTATAATTTTGTAATACTATAATAAAGTAATTGTTAGTTAGACGTCATGAAAAATAAAAGAGACAAAACAATGCAATAATCTCTACTTATTGCGATCTTTGATAATTATAATATTGGTATACTTTTACCACCGGATACTATTTATTGTAATATTTTTTATTGAATATCATTATGTTTTTACCGACTGTGTTTATTACTCTCATGTCATTTATGAACCGATTTTGATGATTATTTTTTGTCGGAAAGAGGGTACCTCAGTATTTGTTCCATTATTTGAAGGAAATATTCCACATCTAAGGGTGGTGAACTAGGCGATGAATCGAACGATTTCAATAAAACTGCGCATACAGATGTAATTCCACGAACTTTTGAGGACGGTTTTTTTAAATAAAAAAGGTTTAAATATTTATCTAGTTTGTTATTATTATCGATACAAAAGTCGAACAACCACAAAGAAAAAATACTTCGATACAACTGGATTTGAACCAGTGTCTATAGCCTCAATGTGTGACAATGCCGACCTCCTTCATCGTCATCCCACCTTTTTACCACCCGCTTTACCGATTCCTGGCCTCTACGTTAAAATTTTTTAATCATTTTCAAATTCCCTTTTTCACTGTTATTATGTTTCGTACGATTCGTCAAGTGTCTCAACAAGTGTATTTTTTCAGAATTGATGAAAAACTAATTACTCACTTCTCGTGAAATATTATCTGAACAAATTCCTACTTTTGGTTGAAAAATAATAGAGCGAAAATTATTTCATATTTTTTCCAGATTATTCACCAGAACTAGCCACAAAAATTTTCTCATTTGATTTAAGTAGACATCTTTAATTTGTTTTTGTTTTGTTATGTTAAGTAGACATCTTTAATTTGTTTTTGTTATATTGACGTATAGAGACTCAAATTTTACTTTAATTAACGGTATAATATTGAATTTCACTAACTTTGAGTGGCAACACTATTGTAATAGCAATGCGATATAAGGGCCCTTTTGGGGTGAGTATTGTGTTTAGTCTTGTATAAGATGTGTTTTATATTAATTG